TCTGTAGTTCTCTAAAAGAGAGGGGTTAAGGGTTGGTTTCTTAAGAAGTGAGGTTATACGAGCCTGTCTAAATGCTGAGGGAAAAACACCAGTTTGAAGGCATGTGTTAACGATGTGAGTGAGTGCAGGTAAAATGGCAAGAGAAATGGCTTGAAGGAGATGAGATGGAATAACCACGACTGTATATACACATATATATATATATATATATATATATATATATATAAAATCCATGCCTTGCCAAAGGAGCTATGCTTGAAATGAATAGTTCACCAACAAAAGGAATCATTTAATCACCCCTCCAAACTTTTATGACTTTATTTCGTGGAATGTAAAAGGAGATGTTAGTTTTTCACTCTTTTCCACACAGTAAAAGGGAATGGGGACCACAGCTGTCAAGTAAGATTTTCACAGCAAGATTTTTGTATGGAAACAAGCAACATGGACATTCTGCTAACTATCTCATTTTGTGTCCCAGAGAAAAAAAGAAAGTCATATGCACTCTAACTTGGGAAAACTCCACAAATAACAGCTAAAACATTCTCCTCATCAACTCTTTTCATTATTAGGAAATAATCACATTTAATTATACCTTTAAATATTAATGTAGTTCATTAACTGCATTCAAAAAACTGATTATTTCGGGGGGAAGCTGGGGATCATGCAGGGCTTGTAAGGAAAATGAAACCTTTTATAAATTAGACATAAGTGTTCTTACTGCCTGTCTGATCCGTGACGGGAAAAACAGATTTGTCTGGATGAAGCCCTTTAATACATTTTAATCGGGGCTTCAGAGTGGATTGATTATTTTTCCCTAGAGAAATGTGTCATTAAACGTGGCCTGCAGGATTGTACAAGTCTGTCCCCTCAGAAACAGCATTACGCGTCAAACAGCTCAAGTATGACGTAAAGGTCCACTGGTCTGTGGTCTGATCCACTAATCAGTTTGCAGTATCTGAGTCAGCAATAATGTATTAATAAGTCATTAAATAGCTGAGGGTTGGTTGCACAAGTGTTATGTGGCATATACATCTCTGTTAATTAGCATTATAAATAAAGGCATCAAATGATGATCCTCTGTAAACTGAGAAAAGTATTAATGATAAATGACTTAATCGTGATTTAAAAAATTAAGACAGATGTGGATTTTGATATCTGTGTTGGCTAAATGAGTTTAGACTGATGATACTGTATCTGTGATGACTTTAATAAGTGTGCACCTTGTGGAATTTTCCACATTTTGTTTTTACAAAATAAAACTCTGAGAATATTTGCCAGTGTTCAATGCATTACTGGTCAAAATTTGGAATATGAAGATTTTCTAACATTTTTGAAGTGATGTCTCTACATAGATCTTAAGAAGCAAATCATCCTGATTTCTGAAGGATCATGTGACACTTAAGACTGGAGCGTAGATATCAAAAATATTGAAAATTCAGCTTTGCATCACAGCAATTAATTGCATTTTAAAATATATTCAAATAGAAAACAGTTCTTTTAAATGGCAATAATATTTCACAATATTAGTTTTTACTGTATTTTTGTTCAAATAAATGCAGCCTTGGTGAGCATAAGAGACTTCAATCAACAATATTAAAATGGTGTAACAATATTAAAACTTTTAAGTTGTGTAATACTGTACAATGATTATAATCAGTGATACGATAATATTGAAACATCCAGATAATTTGTATTACTTCTGTACCTTCATGACACAGAACATAACTCATCTAAACCACTTTGGACCCCACTGACTTGTTGTTTTGAATGAATAAATAAATAAATAAATAAAAAACAAAAAGGACTGAGACATTTTTCAGAATATCTTTTGTGTTCATCAGAAGAGAGGAAGTCATAGAGGTTTGGAACAACACAAAGCGTATCTATCCCTTTAAACCACAAATGTATGAATTGCCTTATATAACACATAAATGGATTATATAACAAATATATCAAACCAATCTGCATTTCATTATAAACTTGATTTAATATTTTGTATTTAATACAATGAGATTCAGACATTTTAAATATTCAAATGTCTTCACATTTTTTGTGGTCACTTTATATTAATACTTGAGAGCCTTTGGCATTAACTATAGCGGAGATGCTTTGGGTGAGTTTTGAAGTTGGAATATAATTGCACTGATGCTAAAATGGTCATTTTATAGGTCATTCCAGATTGTTAACGTTTATGATTTGAAGCTTCCCTGTACGATTTTCCCATTTTTTCAGTCCTGCTGCATAAAAGCATCCACTGCTCTTCACTGAGGGGGTGTTTAGTGTATTGTGTTGTGTGCTTTACATGTAGCTCTGAAGGCAGACTAATCTAAATTGTGGAGTGCCTTTGGGCAACTTTAGACTTCAAGGCTTTCCTCTCTATTCATGCCAGATTTCTGTGTGTATGTATTGTTGCCACATGCACAGTTGGAGAATTATAAGTCGTTTAGAGTTGCCTTAAGTTTCTTTTTGTCCTGACACTGGTGGGTGGCCAGTTCTGGGCACATTCGCTGTTCTTCCATCCTCTCTCACACATTTAGTGATGACCTTCACTGCTCTTCAGAGTATAGTCAATGTGTTAAAAATGTTATTAAATCTCTCTGGTTTCCAAGAACCTTGTCTTCAGCATTCATGGAACATTTTTGTGTCTTTATGATTACAAATTACTCCGAAAGTACACAGTTTCCCAGACACAAGTGTATTTATCTGAAATCAAGCTGCAGCTATCAAGTAGACGCTAGTCAAGAAATTACATTACAATCCAATCATGTTACACAATAGCTTTTGAATTTACTAAATTTTCTTAAATGAATGTGTTTGTCTTATAATTTAAGAAATTGTATAAAAATGCAGAGCAGACTTTCAGAATATGCATCGGTCAAGCTTAAGCATTTACAATTTATTAACTAACTTGATTAGTTATACAAAGTACTAGCTCAGTGAGGGACTAACACAAAGGTAAATTTAATACATTTTGATAATATCAAGCTAATTTCTGTAATTTGATCAAACATTATGGAATGTCTTCATCACTTATACTTACTGATGCTTGATGCTTTTCCCACCAAAATTACACAAGATGCTGTCATTTTGGAACTGGCTTTTGTTAGGGAAGTTCACCCTAAAAATGAAAATTCTGCCGTCATTTACTCACCCTCATTTCATTCCATTTCGTTCCACAACTATATATATATATATGAAAGATAGATATAGATATGTATGTTGCCTCTTAAAGTTTTGATTAAACCACTGGATTCACATGGATTACTTTTACAGTGCCTTTATGAACTTTTTGAAGTTTTTGATTATCTAGACCAGGGGTGTCCAAACCTGTTCCTGGAGGGCCACTGTCCTGCACAGTTTATGCTGTGTTCCATTTGTACTCGGAAGTTTAAAATTCCGAGTTCTCAGTAGGAACTTCTAACTGGAAAGCCCTCCAGAGTCGGAGTTCCAACTCGGAATCTTGGAGGAATCGAAACAACTCAGAATCCAATATTGCTGCTTTGTGCATCAACAAAAGAGAAACAGTAGTAATATATTGTTTATTAGCACTTATGTTTCTCTGTGTCTCCATAAATTCTGGTGGTGCAAACTGTACTATCCAACCTCTATTTGTGGACATGATACTATGGCTTTATCTGTGCAAACTGGTATTGCTAACAATGGATGTGTTCTTGGTTTTCTGACTTCTCTTCTGTGATGTTATTCCCGACATCTGACTTCCAAGGTCAATCGAAAGCAGCATTAGCTCCAATCCTAATTACTGTAAACGCACCTGAACTAGCTAATCAAGGTCTTCAGACTCATTAGAAATTTCTAGGCAAGAGTGTTGGAGCTAGCTAGGGCTAAAATCTGCAGGACATTGGCCATCCAGGAATATTGCTTAATGAATTGTCTTTTTTTTTTCACATTAGAAGTGAGTGCAGCACCCAGGGACAAAATTAAAACATCTGCTTGAAACATAGTAAAATAATTTAAAATGTATTCCTGTGTTACACTTAATGCTCTTTTAGCATATATATTATCCACTATATCAAGACATACTGCATAATGACCTTCTGAATGAAGACTCTGAATGATACAACAGAATGTGAGACCCTAACCCTGAGCTCAACTAACATGTGTTTTCTCTCTCAGGGTGAGTGCTCCCAGAGGTGCTACAACATCTTTGTGCTGGAAACAGTCTGTGTGGGCTGGTTCTCCCTGGAGTTCCTGCTACGTTTCATCCAGACGCAGAGCAAGTGGACGTTCTTACGCACACCCCTCAACATCATCGACGTGGTGGCCATCCTGCCCTATTACATCACTTTGATAGTGGACTCACTGTCTGTGGGCGACCGTCCCACCGGCTCAGGAAACAACTACCTGGAGAAGGTGGGATTGGTCCTGCGAGTTCTTCGAGCATTGCGGATCTTCTACGTGATGCGTTTAGCACGTCACTCTTTGGGGCTGCAGACACTTGGGTTGACCGTACGTCGCTGCACTCGAGAGTTCGGACTGCTCTTGTTGTTCCTATGTGTGGCCATGGCACTCTTCTCTCCGCTGGTCTTCCTGGCAGAGAGCGAGATGGGCGCCAAGCAGGAGTTCACCAGCATCCCCGGGAGCTACTGGTGGGCAGTCATTTCGATGACGACGGTTGGATACGGTGACATGGTTCCTCGCAGCATTCCAGGCCAGGTGGTGGCACTCAGCAGCATACTGAGTGGAATCCTGCTCATGGCATTCCCAGTCACATCCATATTTCACACTTTTTCACGGTCCTACCTGGAGCTTAAAGAGGAACAGAATCGGGCCACACGGCACAAGCCCGATTCACAAGACAGCACCAAGTCCCAAAACAGTGAGGATTCACAGGACACTGACAGTTCCTTACATGGAATCACAGAGACCGCCGCAGTTGGTGCGCATCACCGCAGATTCGTAGCTGTGGCAAGTCAAGGAGCACCACAGGTCAGGAGATCTCTAAAGTCGTAATGCAAACTGCTGACTGTAAGACTAAGAGGAAAAAAACATTTACAAAGACATGCTACAGGTGATTGGCCATAAATAGTACCTGTATAATCAGGTGACTTGACAATAATAGACAGTGGGAAAGGGATGTTAAAATGGACAGGTTTGCATGTCCAAAGCACAATTATTGAAAGTATTTGTTCACCATAAAATGAATGTTCTGTGATTTACTAACCCTTATGTTGCTCCAAATGCGTATGACTTTCTTCTTCCATGGAACACAAATGGAAATGTTTAGCAGAATGCTAATTGTTT